TGAAGGGTCTAAGCCCGAAACGTCAGCTTTCCTGCTCCTCTGATGCTGCTTGGCCTGCTGTGTTCATCCAGCTGTACACCTTGTTTCAGGTCAGGATCCTTGTTCAGAAATGGGGGAGGGGAAGGGGGCTCTGAAATAAATAGAGAGGGGGGTTGGTGATAGTAAGTAGGTAGTGGTAGGGATTGGTCAGTGAGATGGGAGTAGTCGATAGGTGGGAGAGAAGACGGACAGGTCAATGAGGCGGGGTTGAGAGGGGTGGCTGGTCTTGGGATGAGGTTGGGGTGGGGAGATTTTGAAGCGAGTAAAGTCCACATTGAGACCGTCGGGTTGTAGGCTTCCAAGGTGGAATATGAGGTGCTGTTCCTCCAGTTTCCGGGTGGCATAGTTGTGACACTGGAGGAGGCCCAGGATGGACATGTTGTCCAGGGAGTGGGAGGGGGAGTTGAAGTGGTTCGCGACTGGGAGGTGTTGTCGTTTGTTGCAAACCGAGCGTAGGTGCTCTACAAAGCGGTCCCGAGCCTCCGCTTGGTCTCACTGATGTAGAGGAGGCCACATCGGGAACAGCGGATACAGTATACCACATTAGTGGGTGTGCAGGTGAACATCTGTTTGATGTGGAAGCTTTTTTTGGGGCCTGGGATGGAGGTGAAGGGGGAGGTGTAAGGGCAGGTGTAGCACCTCCTGCGGTTGCAGGGAAAGGTGCCGGGGGTGATGGGGCTAGTGGGGAGTGTGGAGCAGACGAGGGAGTTGCGGAGGGAGCGGTCCCTCCAGAAGGCAGATAAGGGTGGGGAGGGAAAAATATCCTTGGTAGTGGGGTCAGATTGCTGGTGGCTGAAGTGGCAGGGAACAATGTGTTGAATCCGGAGGTTAATGGGGTGATACGTGAGGACAAGGGGAATTCTGTCTTTGTTTTTATTGTGGGTAGGGGGTGTGAGGGCTGAGGTGTGGGAAACGCAAGAGATGCAGTCGAGGGTGTTTTCGACCACTGAGGGGGATGAAGTTGCGGTCCTTGAAATACGAGGACATCTGGGATGTTAGGGAGTGGAACGCCTCATCTTGGGAGCAGATGTGGTGGAGGCGGAGGAATTGGGAGTAGGGGATTGCATTCTTCCAGGAAGGTGGGTGAGAAGAGGTGTAGTCTAGGTAGCTGTGGGAGTCGGTGGGCTTGAAATAGATATCAGTTTCAAGGTGGCCACCAGAGATGGAGACAGAGACGTCCAGGAAGGAGAGAGGTATCAGAGATGGTCCAGGTGATTTTGAGATTGGGGTGGAAGGTGTTAGTAAAGTTGATGAACTGTTCGAGCTCCTCGTGGGAGCACGAGGCGGCGCCGAAACAGTCATCGATGGAGCTGAGGAAGAGGTGGGGGATAGTGCCAGTGTAGCTGCGGAAGAGGGACGGTTCCATGTATCCTACAAAGAGGCAGACATAGCTTGGGCCCATGCGGGTACCCATGGCCACTCCCTTAGTCTGTAGGAAGTGGGAGGAGTTGAAGGAGAAGTTGTTAAGGGTAAGGATGAGTTTGGTTAAGCAGATGAGGGTGTCGGAGGGGGACTGGTCGGGCCTGCGGGAGAAGAAGAAGTGGAGGGCTTTTAAGCCATCTGCATGGGGAATGCAAGTATATGGGGATTGGATGTCCATAGTGAAGATGAGGTGTTGAGGGCCAGGGAATCGAAAGTTTTGGAGGAGGTGGAGGGCGTGGGTGGTGTCCCGGACGTAGGTGGGGAGTTCCTGGACTGGGGGGGAGAAAATAGAGTCGAGGTAAGCAATAAGTTCGGTGGGGCAGGAGCAGGCAGAGACCCAATGGCCTCAATGTGGACTTTACCAGCTTCAAAATCTCCCCAGTCCCGACCTCATCCCGAGACCAGTGCCCCCTCTCATCCCCGTCTCCTTGACCTGTTCGTCTTCCCTCCCACCTATCTGCTCCTCCCACCTCACTGACCAATCCCCACCACTATCTATCTGCTATCGCCACCCCCCCCTCTCTATTTATTTTAGAGCCCCCTTCCCCTCCCCTATTTCTGAAGAAGGGTCCCAACACAAAACGTCAGCTTTCCTGCTCTTCTGATGCTGCCTGGCCTGCTGAGTTCCTCCAGCTCCACACTGTGTTATTTTAGTTCAATCATGGTCCTTCATAAAAGTTAATTTGCCACCCTTCTCTGGTCTGGCCAACATGTGACTCCAAATCCACAGTAATGTGATTAGCTCTGAAATGGCTGACTAAGCCGTTCAATTACAGGGCAATTAGGGAGGGTCAAAAAAATGCTGACCTTGCCACTGACACTCATATCCCACAAAAGAACAAAAATGTTTGGAAGAATAAAAACTGTAATTGGCCTGCTTAGTATTTTTCATAATTCACAGTGTGAAAATAGTTAAACTTAACTAAATTGCAGTGCCAACACAGATTAAGGAATAGTTTTGCATTATGTTGTCAGCTTCTGTGGAAGGGTCACTGCCAAATATTAACTCTTTTTTATTATTCAGCCTACTGTGTATTTTGCATTTTACTGCAGATTTTTAATATACAGATGCTTTGCATTCTCTTTATTTTGTGTTTCTGAGAATCTGTGTATCATTTGGCTAATGATTAAAGTTTATCAAACATTCATGGCTCCATAGGCAAAAGACAGAGAGAAGAAAACCAGCCTGACGAGTTGTTTGGTCCCTCGTTTAATGATTTGTAAAGATTTGTACTGAATATCCAATCTAAAGTCAGATGGGTGACAGTTTGGGGGCTTAGAGGTTAGGGAGATAAGAGTTCAGTGACCTACTTGCGGAATGTATTTCTTCCGTGTGGACGTTAGGTCTGGGCACAGCATTTCTGGGGACAAAGTAATATCTGTCAACATATCTTCTTGGTGGCCCAAGGTCTCAAGCACAGACTCACACACAGAGAAAAATGAATGCCCATTAATAAAAATAAAGAGCAGTTTATTCCAGTTCGCGGGAAACAGAAAGGAGTCTGAAGCATTTGCCAGTGCCAAGTTTAAGAATCATCTTCTTGAAGTTGTTTGATGAGCCGCTGCCGTTCTGCTGCCTGTCGCATCCGCATCATCACAAGACTTTCATAATCCCGCTCTGTGCGTGCTGTATCCTGGAAAAGAAAAGGACACACGGTCAGTACTGACCATTTGAATCATTAATGTACTGCGAAATTAAACTTTGCTGCAGAAATCTGCTTAGATTCAACGTTGTCAGTCAATCCTAAAAGGGATGCTTTTAGTGGGGTTTGGCGCACTGCTTATGCGTATTTGTACAACTCTGAAACTCAGGGATCCAATAACATTCCCTCATTGTAAGCTGAATGATCAAGTTATCTCCTTTGTTTCAATCTCTCCCAAGGTAGACTCAGCATATGCTTTAGGGATAATATGAAACATTCAGCAATTTGATTTCATATATAGAGCAGCAGTTATGATCAGATTCATTTAGTTTAGTTGATACAGTTTGTTCTCGTGCAGTGCTAAAAATATAGCGACCAGGCCACACTTCTACACCTCAGTGGGTCACCGATGTAATGGACCGGACTAGACCAGATCTCCTCAAAATATTTTAAGGTAGCCTAGACCCTAACTTTTTCTTATTTTTAAGGCAAATGTAAAGTGTCTGTTCTAGATGCAATGTGACTGGTCAAACTACTCGATGTTAAGCAAAACACAATTTATTTAAACACTGTAGTTAAAATACAATCAAAGAAAGAGGAATTTAGAATAACTCTGTTGGAAAACTTAACAGAATAATAGATACCGCATAGTAACATGTCATTAACATACCTCTTGGCAAAGAAAATTCAGACACAGATTCTTACATGTAGTTATCCAATCCAGGAGGGAAAAAATAAGCAAGAGAAAATTCAGAGAGAGTAGCAACCAGGAGACATTTGCTGCAGCTTCCAACTCTGTTCAGACCCCAATAGCTTCTGATGCCACTGAAAAACTAAAACCCAGAAATCCTAATCTGACAGAGCTGGCCACACCCATTCAGGCTGTTTGAAAAAAACCAAGCTGTTTACCCAAGTGGTGGTAACGAGCCAAATCAATGCTTCTGTCTTATAAACTCTCTCTCTTTAAAGAAAAGGACAAAATACCTCTTAAAGTGACAGTATTGTCACGCTATTCTCGATAAATCTATGTCTAACTCACCAATATTATGTTGCCGTTAGTCTTTTTCAGGGCCTCAATGCTCTGTAAAGAACAAATTTTATTCATACAGCACCTTTCACAACCTCAGGATGTTTCAAAGCATTTTAAAGAAATATAGAAACATACAAAATAGGAGCAAAAATAGAAACTTCCACCATTCAACATGATCATGGCTGATCCTCTATCTCCACACCATACGCCTGCTGTCTCTCCATACTCCTTGATGCAGTGATTTCTTTGCAAAATATATTCATTAACTTGGGTACTGCGGCTTTATGTCATTGAGAATTCCATAGGTTCACCACCCTGTGAGCAAAGAAATTTTTCATTTCAATCTGGAATGGCCTACTCTGTATCCTGAGACCATGACCCCAGGCTCTAGATGCCTCACACAGAGGAACATCCCTGCATCCAATCTGCCCAGCCCCATGAGATATTTGCACAGTTCAGTGAGATCCCACAGTGAATACAGGCCCAGTCGACCCAATCTCTTCTCATATAGCAATCCTAACATTCCAGGAATCAGTCTGGTGAACACACAGTGCACTCTCTATGGCAAGTGTGTCCTTTCTTCAGTAAGGAGATCAAAACTGCACACAATACTGCAGATGTGGTCTCACCAAGGCCCTGCAGAGCTACAGCAAGACATCCTTGCTCCTGTATTCAAATCCTCTTGCAGTAAAGGCTATTTGATTTTCTAATTGCTTGCTGCACCTAAATTAACAGAAACAGAAATTGCTAGAAATATTCAGCAGGTGTGGCAGCATCTGTGGAGAGAGTTTCATTGACTGGTGTAGAGATACCCACGGCTCTTTGTACATCCAATGGCAATAGACTGGGAAATGTTACATAATACACTGCTGATATAACAAGGTGTAGAGCTGGATGAACACAGCAGGCCAAGCAGCATCAGAGGAGCAGGAAAGCTGACGTTTCGGGCCTAGACCCTTCTTCAGAAAAATCTATCTGCCTATCTGCAGTTCCTACTATCTCTATAATACACTGCTATTCTGTTTTTCCTATCGAAATGGATAACTTCACATTATTCATGATATACTGTATGTGCCACAAACTTGACCAAACACTCAACTTATCTAAATTGCCTTGAAGTCTCTTTATATCCTACCCAGTCATATTTCCACCTAGTTTTGAAATGACAGCCAACTTGGAAATATTTCATAAAGAACTGTGGATGCTGTAAATCAGGAACAAAAGCATAAGTTACCGGAAAAGTTCAACAAGTCTGGCAGCATCTGTGAAGAAAAAAATCAGGTTAACGTTTCGGGTCCAGTTCTGCAGAAGGGTCACCAGACTCGAATCGTTAACTCTGTTTTTTACTTCACAGATGCTGCCAGACCCGCTGAGCTTTTCCAGCAACTTGTTTTTGTTTGGAAATCTTACGTTTGGTTCCCTCATTCAAATCATTGATCCATGTATTGAATAGCTGGGGCCCAAGTACCAATTGCTATGGTAACCCAATTAGTCACATCCTTCCACTGTAAAGGTGGCCCATTTATTCCTATGCTCTATGCTAGCCAATTCTCAGTTGTGCCTATATATTACCTCCAATCCATGTGCTTTCATTTTGTACACTAACCTCTAAGGTGAGACTTTATTAAAAGCTTTCTGAACATCCAAATACTATGTTGACTGGTCCACCCTTTATTGATTCCACAAGTCACATCCTCAAAAAACTCTAAGACTACCAA